AGGAGGATGGACGAGTTTCTATTCCCCGCCGAGAGCTTCTAAAGACCCTCTGCGGTTACTGAGCATGAGCATAGCGGCCCGTATCCTGGGCGGGACAATCGTCTGCAGCGCCCCAATTGCTCGGCCACGCGCCGGGCCGCGCGCCCTGGCAGCTCCGGCAGACGCCCTCTGGCCAGGCGCCCCCCGCAGGCGACCCTCCACGAAGTAGCCGCCGCGAGCCAGAGAGCGGGCAGCGAAACACCTCCAAGCGTCCAGGATGCCTCCAAATTTGCCCAGGACGCCTCCAAGACGGCCCAAGATGGCCTCAAGATCACGGCAGACGGCTCAAGATGGCCCCAAAGAGGCCTCCAAGACGGCCCAAGAAACCCCCCAACAGTCAAGCCGGGCGAAAGGGGGGGGTAGCAAAGGGGAGGTTTGAGAATCAGCTCACGCAGCTGACTTTCCTGGCGCCTCCCAGCGCTGGGAGGCGCCCATGTGTCGAGGAATGGGCCCGGCGGCGGGGCCGAAACCAGCTGCATGCAGCAGATTTCGTAAGCCCCCCTTTATGTACCCCCCTTTCGTTTGGCCCGAAAGGAGGCCCCCAAGAGGCCTCCAAGACGGCCCAAGAAGCCCCCCAAGAGGTCCTCCCGGAAGGCCCGAAGAGGCCCCAGGCATGGCTTCTTCTCGGCCTTCGGACGGCCACGGAGACGGCCCAAGCCCCCAGAGATCGCCCCAAAGGTCGCCCAAGAGGCCCAAGATGGCCCCAGAACGCCCAAGAGGCCCCCAAGAGGCCTCCAAGACGGCCCAAGAAGCCCCCCAAAAGGTCCTCCAGGAAGGCCCGAAGAGGCCCCAGGCATGGCTTCTTCGCGGCCTTCGGACGGCCACGGAGACGGCACAAGCCCCCAGAGATCGCCCCAAAGGTCGCCCAAGAACGGCCCAAGAGGCCCCCAAGACGGCCCCAAGGGGGCTCCAAGAGGACTCCAAGACGCCCAAGATAGCCTCCAAGACGGCCCTGGAGCATCCTGAAAGGAACCCACGTCGGCCCAGAGAGGCCCCCGAGACGGCGTCCGACGGACGGCGTCAGACGGGCCAGGAGGCCACGAAGACGGCCCAAGATGGCTGCAAGCTCCAAAGAGGCCCAAAGCATTGGCTGGCATTCAGATGTTGGCGAATTTTAGCATTTACTGCTTTTCGGCCTTCCGACGGACCGACCCGGCCCAAGAGCCCCCAAGGATCGCCTCAAAATCGCCCAAGAGGCCTCCAAGATAGCCCGAGAACGGCCCAAGAGGCCCCAAGACGGCCCTAAGGAAAGCAAACGCGGCCCAAGAGGCCTTCAAGACGCCCTAGATGACCTCCAAGACGGCCCTGAAGTACCCCAAGAGGAACCGAAGCCGGCCCAGAGAGGCCCCCGAGACTGCTTCCGACGGCGTCGGACGGGCCAGGAGGCCAAGAAGACGGCCCAAGACGGCCAAAGAGGCCCCCAAGAGGCCTCGACGAGGGCCTCCAGGAGGAAGGCCCAGAGAGGCCCAAATCGTTGGTTGTCTCTAGGTCCTTGGCAAATTTTAGCATGTGTCGCTTGTTCAGCCCAAGAGCCCCCAAACATCGCCCCAAGAGGCCTCCAAGATAGCCCCAGAACGGCCCAAGAGGCCCCCAAGACGGCCCCAAGGAGGGGCAGACACGGCCCAAGAAGTCTTCAAGACGCCCAAGATGGCCCCCAAGACGGCCCTGGATCACCCCAAGAGGGCCCCAAGTCGGCCCAGAGGCCCCCAAGACGGCTTCCGACGCCGTCAGACGGGCCACCTATGACGGCCAAAGAGGCCCTCGAGAGGCTCCCAAGGGCCCCCACGAGGCCCAAGGAGACCTTCAAGAAGCCTCCCAGAGGTTCCCAGGAAGCTCCCAGGAGGCCCCAAGAGTGCCCCCAGAGGCTCCCAAGATGCCCCCTCCTCCCCCTCCACCTTCTCCTCCTCGTCGTCGTCGTCCTCCTCATCCTGGTCTTCCCCGCCATCCTCCCCTAAGTGTTCTCCGAATGGTTTCCACAACGACTTGGGGAACACATGGTCCGATAGCTTGGCAAAGCTCCTGTCATTACGCTCGGCCTCATGTGCAACTCGAAAAGACAGGGGGCGGCGGTGATTCACCGTAGGCGTCTTCGATTATGCTATGATAGGATGGGTTCAGGATGCGTTCCAGGATGTCCAGGGTGCCCAGCAGCCATCGTGTCTGGAACCCTCGTGGAACCTCTGGAATCTGGGAAATCCTGCAAGCATAAGAAATATCGCAACGTATCATTATCATGGCCCTCTGCTCCTCTTGGGGGAACCAAGAGGTACCCACACTGCTACTCCCCGGACCTCTCCAGTGGTGCGTTCTGGCCAAGATTTCGAGACGAATCCAGCGCAAGGGTTATGATGTTCCAACCTACTTTAACCTTGATCACCCAGAAGAATTTCGAGCGGCCAAATAAAGTACCGAAACTCAAGGGTTTTCACGTGCCGGGCCCTGGGAGACACACGCCCGACACTGTTTCCACACTGTTTCGACACTCTTTTGACACTTTTGTGGGTGCTCGAAAGTATTTCTGGCATGCGGTCCTCAAGTAGGATGGGAACAACATAACGCAAGGGCCTTCAAAGACGCCTCTTCCTCCCCTGGCCTCTGAGAAACTTCGGCACAACCACAAGTCGGGAGCGGCCAAGAGGGGGGTGTCCAAGAGGGGGGGTGCTAATCATGACCGGCGACATGTGCGCGGCCCAGAGGGGGGCCAGGGACGGAATGAAATAAGAAGAGGCGCCATGAAATCTGAGGAAATACCATGGCCCCGCCATGATATCCCCCCCCCTAGTCATCACCCCCCTCTTTGCCGCTCCCGAACAAGCCTGAGACGAGGCAGGCGGGACCCCCCCGACGGAAGTGCAAGCCCCGCACCACCGGGCTGCCGCGTTCGCGCGCCGCGCTCCGCGAAGCGCGAGCCAGCTCCGCGCTCTCGCGCCGCCCCCTCCAGGGGAGAAGCTGAGGACGAGGAGGACGAGGATGAAGAATCACGAGGATGAAGAATCACGAGGAGGACGAGGACGAGGACGAGGATGAGGACGAGGAGGACGAGGACGAGGAGGACGAGGATGAAGAATCACGGATCGCGCACCGGGAACCGCCTCGCTCCATCGTGGCGGCAACTGTGGACCCCAGGGGCCCTCCCCCTGGACCGGCCCGCCGTCCTGGGTCGTGCCTGGGCAATTTCGGGGTCCCGTGGGGGGCCCAGAGGGGGCCACATGAGGTGACAGAGTCGCACGAAGCCGGGACAGGTGCAAAATCGGGCGAGGATGAACCGGGAGTCTGTTCTGGGGCTGCATTCGGCGCCGCGAGCGCTCCCAAGCGCTCCGGAACGCTTCGAGGGCGCTCAGGAACGCTCTGGAGGGATCTGTTATCCTGGTCCTACCCCTGCAAGGAAGTCTGCTCGAAACCCGCGGGCTTCCGGATGGGCACAGCACCCCCCTGCTCTCCGGCAAGCGGAGCGCGTCCGAGGGGGGGCCTGGCGCCGACCAGACAAAACATCCGCGCGGACCCTTGACAGTCGGGAGCGGCCAAGAGGGGGGTTGTCCAAGAGGGGGGGGTGCAACTCATGACCGGCGGCATGTGCGCGGCCCAGCGGGGAGGCCAGGGACGTGATGAAATAAGCAGAGGCGCCCTGAAATCTGGGGAAACATCATGGCCCCCGCCATGATATCCACCCCCCCCTAGTCACCATCCCCCTCTTTGCCGCCCCCGAGAAAACGCGTGTCTGCTGAGGGGCAAGTTACGGGGGGAACCAGCTCAGGGCGGGAGCCACCGATCTGGAACCGGTCCGATAGATCGGCGATGGGCCCCTAATAGCGAATCCGCACGCTCCAGGCCCCTATCGGCGTGAAAAAGAGGATTGTGGGTCGCTGTATCCCCTCCTGAGCCTATCCCCCCTTAACGTTGCCCCTGAACCATATCGGGTCATAACTCAAGTCTCCGGCGTTCGTTCGGGAAGATTCTGACTCCCCTGGAATGCCCATGGCGAAGCGCAGCTGATGGAAACCACCCCAAGCCTCAAACAAATTCACAGATTCACCACTCCCGAGACAAAAAAACAGGGTTATCAAGGTGGAAGGAGGAGGACGGGTCCAGGGAGCAAGAGAAGGAGCAGCAAAATGAAAATTGCCACCCAGCCGATGTCGGCTGGACTCCGGAAATATGCGGATCATGAGGAAGGGCCCAGGAAGAAAAAGGAGGAGGAGGAGGAGAAAGAAGGAGGAGGAGAAGGAAGGAGGAGAAACCGAAATTGTGGGACTTTGGAGCTTGACGAGAGCTTGCCGAGCTTGACCAAAACTGACGGGGTGCTCGCGGTCCGTCACGCAGTAGGAAGCCATCTGCCCATCTCGGGCCTTTGCGAGTAGGCACCTTGCGAGCAGCGGAACGCGCTCGGCGAGAGAGACGGAGGAGCCGCCTTGGCTTAGGTCGGGCCTGTCCCGCCACAGGGGGATTTTCGACGAATCATAAAAAATACACCAAACATGCCCCCAAAAGGTCAAACAAAAATACGCACAGTCCCCAGACTATGTTTGGACTGTGTGTTGGACGATTTTGGGGATATTTGTGATTGTTCGTTGAAGATCCCCTACAGGGGGATTTTCTACGAAAAATAGCACATACCCCCAAACATACACCAAAAAGGTCAACAACTACTCAACAACAAAGTCCCCAGGCTATTTTTGGACTATGTTTGGATTATTTTTGGGGGTATTTGTGATTGTCGTCGAAACTCCCCCTGCAGGGGAACACGCCCGACTTAATCCCCCCACAGGGGGATTTTCAATGAAACAATAAAACTACAATAAAACTACCCCAACAATGCCCTGAAGAGGCCAAAAAGTGTTAAAACATAGTCCCCAGACTATTCTTGGACTATGTTTGGACCATTTTTTGGGGTATTTGTTGATGTGTCGTCGAAATGAATCGGATCGGCGGAAATCGGCAGCCGAGTCGGGAAAAGTCGAATCGGCGGAAATCGACAGGCTAGTATGCGTCCAATAAGAAGTCGGACCCCAAATCGGAATCCGACATCGAATCGAACCAGAATCGGAATCCATCGAAGTCGAATCGAATCGCATCGGAGGAATCGAGACGCGCCCTGCAGCAGGGGGACACGCCCGACGTGAGCCCTGGCCGCGGCGGCTCGCGGCCTCGCCTTGAGCGGCTCGGCCTGCGCGGTGGCGCTCGGGGGCGGCGGCGCGGCCGCCTCCTCCGACCTGGCGGCGGCGCGCGGGGGCGGGGCGCGGGGCGCCCCCCCCCCCCCCGAGGGCAGCGCGCGGGCGCCCCGCGCCGGCCACGCGCGGCGAGCGCGCCGTGGGACTTTTTTGCCTGGACGGGGCGCCCGAGAGGACACGTCGAGTACCTCCTCCTCCTCCTCCTCCTCCTCCTCCTCCTCCTCCTCCTCCTCCTCCTCCTCCTCTCCTCCTTCCTCCTCCTGCTCCTCCTCCTCCTCCTCCTCCCTCCTCCTCCTCCTCCTCCTCCTCCTCCTCCTCCTCCTCCTCCTCCTCCTCCGCCTCCCGCTCTCACACCACAGCTGCCGAGTATGTATACTGCACCAGAGACCGCTTCGATGGGGTCGGAGTGGACGGGGTCGGATGATCACGCCGCATCGGCGATGCATCGGCGATGCACCAGCGATTCATCGGCGATGCATCAGCGAAGCGTCGGCGATGTCCGCGTGAAGCAAATCGGGCTCCACATCGAGCCGCATCGCCGATGCATCGGCGATGCGGCGCGATCCGCCGACTCCATCTACTCCGACCACATCTGGGAGGCCTAGAACACGAGAGTCTTCCGGCGGCAACGTGGCCCCAGAACACCAAGGGACATGCAGATTGCATGGGTTGGGATGGACAGGACACAAAGGTACCCTCGATTTGGCATGGTCGACCCACTAATCAAGGCCGACTGTATCCAGATCCGCGCCCTCGCGGTCTGGATCCCGGCGCGCGATCCCGCGGGTGTGCGGTCGCACGGACACGCTCTGCGCGGGGCACCCGCGAGAGAACGCCCCGCATCCGCGGGGTCGCGGCCCAGGGGCCCAGCCCGCGAGAACGTGGATACAGACGCTGTTCGCCCATGACCCAATGGCCGCTATGCTCGCGCTTCGCGCGGAGCGCAGACTGTCTCGCGCTCTCGCACCACCCCCCCGCGGGGAGAAGAGGAGGACGAGGACGAGGAACAGGACGAGCATGAGGAATCGCGAATCGCGCGCCGCGAATCGCTTCGCTCCACCGTGGCGGCAATTCTGGACCCCAGGGGGCCTTCCCCCGGGACCCGCCCAGTCGTCCGGGGTCGTGCCTGGGCGATCCTGGGGCCAGCAGGGGGCCCAGAAGGGGGCCGCCCGAGGCGAGAAAAAAAAAACGAAACCAATACCCTCCTCCTCCTCCTCCTCCTCCTCCTCCTCCTCCTCCTCCTCCAAGAAGGACAGAACCGGATCATGACACATCGGGGATTATGTGAAGCCTGGTGGCTCTGGAAAACGTGTCTCCAAGCACCCCATACCGCTCTCGGGGCATTCCGGAGCGCTCGCCCTGGCACGGTTCGTCCCCGCCCTGGCCCTGCCCCGCAAGACCTCCAGGACCCGTTTCCCTCAGTAGGTGGTGACGTTCGAACCCAACCTCCACCAACCATCGATTCTCCCAGATCGATGGGGGCCAGGGGTAGGGTCCAGATTCCGCCACCTGCTCGACGAATTCCGAAACCCATCTCCGTCGCCCATCGAGCTGCCTGAGGTGATTGAACAACAGGAAGAAACCCTTACCCTTCGGAGGGGACCGAAGTTAGGAAAGCCAACACCCTTGGGGATAGGGAATCTTTACTGCAGATGTACCAGGCTAAACCGTCCAGATGTATCATCCCTAACGCGAAGACGGGGACCTCAATGAGGCCAAGTCTTCGTCGTGTTGTTATCAGGGTTAGGTTTTCTTTAGCGCTCCCTGAAGCGTTGAACGGCGAGGATGGGGCTCCCTGGGGCCCCTGATGAAGCGTTGAAATTCCGAGTACCCGGGGCTCAAATGTCGCCGAGTTTCCCTGAGGGTCCGCTCGACTCGTGGCGAGGGTTATGTTGTCATCCTACTTAAGGACCGCATCCCAGACATGATCTCGAGCACCCGCAAAAGTGCCGAAAGAATGTGGAACGAGTGTAGAAACGGTGTCGAAAAGTGTCTCCCAGGGCCCGACGCGTGGAAACTCTCGAGCAGTGGGGTGCGCTCGACATCACTTCTGGCGATCAAGGCTAGCATAGGATGGAACATCACAAGGCGAGGGCCTGCACGCGGGGTCGTCGGCGTCGCCCTTCAGGGCATCGTCGCCGCCCGCGCCCGCGAGATCGCCCCCGGCGCCGCCCAGCACCTGCAGCACCCGGGCGTGGGAGTCGTCCCTGTTCTTTGCGCGGGCGACCTTCGCGACCGGCCGGCCGGCGAAGTTGCGCATCAGTGCGGGGGGGTGTTGTTTCAAGTTTGCGGCCTCTTGGGGCCAGCGACGAGCATCCAGGCCGTCAGAAAACGATTCAGGATGAGAAACGAAAAGCCGGTCTGGGGGAATGGATCGAGTTTTCTGGGGGTCGACGTTATGGCACAAATATGGGTCACTCAAGCAGGCTGCTGCTGCTCCGCTTCAGACCCTGTGCTTCGAGCTCGGAAGGCAGCAACTCTTCGGGAGAGAAGCGCTCGGCGGTGGACAAGCCTCCCTGCAGTGAACCTCCCCTTGGTGAAAACGGCCTGGGACCGAAACCGACGGACCTGGACACGCAGCAGTGGCGGCCGCGGCGCTCTCTCGCGAGCCGAGCACGGCCAGTGCACTCATCGACGGGTCGGGGCAGGACGTCCGGCCACCTCCGAACCGCAGGGGGGAGGAGGGGCGGCGGGGAGGGGAGGGCGATGCGGAGGGCGAGGGGTGGGCGAGGGAGGATTGCAAAAAAAAACCGGATTGCAAAAAAACCGGAAGGATTTCAAAAAAAAACGTTTTTTTTTTGTTTGAAAAACCCTGGTTGTTTTGCAATCCTTCGGTTTTTTGTTTGCAATCCTTTTGCAATCCTGGGTTTTTTTGCAATCCTTCGGTCAGGGGGGGGGAGAGAGAGCCGGGGGAGTGAGGGAGACAAAGGGACACGTGGACAGGCAGGCAGGCAGGCAGGGGCAGGCAGGCAGGCAGGCAGGCAGACAGACAGACAGACAGACTGGCGTCCACATCGGCCCGGAGGCAATCCGCACGCGGGACGCGTGGCGGAGCCACAGTTCCCGTCCCTCCCGCGCATCGATTGAATGTCATGGCGGTGTTACCACCTGGTTTATTTGGCGCTTCTGCGTCACGGGTCAACGCAAAGGCTTCCCAGGAAACAAACACGTGTCGGCCCGAGTGTCCATGCCTTGAACAGTTCGGCCCCATTCAACTGTTGTGTGCTAGCGGCCATGAAACCAACTGCGAACATGTAAGAGTCTGGATGCGCCCTCGACCTCGTGAGTGGCTCACCCCTGCGATTCTTTCCGTGGCCCCGGCGCGCGATGACCATCTGATGACGAGGCATAGAATAACGCTGCTCATGACTTGCGGGCGGGAGGAACACATCCAGCCGCTGGCGGCGACTACCGATTGTAATGCGCATCGTGCTCAGCTCCACTCGGCGTGAGATGTCAGCCATCGTGAGCGTCAACGCCCTCGGCGCACTGCCGCATGGGAGAACGTTGGGCGCCGTGGAGTCAAAGAGCTCAAAACGCACACTCAAATTATTCACTGCGCGGAACTCCCCATATGTGAATCTATTCGCATGGACCTGTCCGCCGTGTCTAGCCGCAAGAGTTTTCGAGTATAAGCGGGCTTGAGTTGTGACGGTCTGATCATGAATCTAACTGCGAATGAATTGGAGTGTGAATGAGTCTCAGTAGTACGAGCGCGTCTCAGCGCATGAGCCTGGGGCCTCCTGGGGCCTCCTGAAACATCGTGGGGCTTCCTGGGGCCTCCAGGAGCCTCTTGGGGCCTCCTGGGGCCTCTTGGGGCTTCGAGTGGCCTCCTGAGGTGTCCTGGAGCCTCGCGTGGCCTCCTGGAGCCTCCTGGAGCCTCCTGGGACCTCCTAGGGAGGATTCGTGCCTCAGAAGAGGCCCAATCTATAGGAACAGACGTACATAAAAAATTGCGGATAAGAGCCACAGGAGAAGGGCAATCCATAGGAACACGTGAAAACACCGAGGACTCGTGCCCCAGGGGAGGCCCAATATGTAGGAGCATACGTACAACATTCAGAATTGATACACAGGAGAGGGGCACATCAAGGATTCGTGCTGCAAGTGAGGCCCAATCTATAGGAGCATACGTAAAACACATTGGATTGGAGACACTCCTGTTGCTTTTCTGAGGCCTCCTGCTCCTGGGGCCTCTCGCAGCCTCCTGTTGCCTTCCGGGGCCTCCTGGCGCTTCCTGTGGCCTCCTGGGGCCTCCTGGGGCTTCCTGAGGCCTCCTGGAGCTTCCTGTGGCCTCCTGGAGCCTCTTGGGACATCCTGCTTCCTGTGGCCTCCTGATGCCTCCTGGGACCTCATGTGGCCTCCTGGGGCCTCATGGAGCCTGCTGGAGCCTCCTGTGGCATCCTAGGGAGAATCTGTGCCCACGAGTCTGGCCACCAAAACAAGCAAACCGATCGAGACATCCTCAAAATCGCCCCCCCCCGGGGGGCGAACATGAGCGCCTCGCTCGAGACATCCTCCAAATCTGTTCCGAAAGCGGAGGATGTTGGGCATGCAAACAGGTAAACCGCTGGAGACATCCCCGCCATTTTGGCGCGAACGGAGGCCGTGCAATACTCCTGGCGCCCGCCCCTCAGGAGTGCTAAAACCAGAAAGCCGCTCGAGACATCTTCAGAATTTGCTGATCGTCATCATCATCAGCATCATCATCATCATCATCATCATCATCATCATCATCATCATCATCATCAGCATCAGCATCATCATCATAATCATCATAATCAGCATCATCATGCACCAAGATCTTCATCATCCTTATCATCATCATACGCATACATCATTCACCATCACCATCGCTCTCACGTCATACTCTCACCATACCATGGTCATCATAATGTCAATCAACATCGTCGTCTAGTGCAGAGAGGGAGGAGAGGAGGTGAGGTCTCCGTGAGGCCAGAGAATAACAAGACCCCCATCCTTTGGATAGGGGGAGAACAACGATGGTAATCACCTCCTGCGATTGGGGCATGAAGCTCTCCCATGCCATGCCGATCCAGCGATCAAGTTCTGCATCGTGTGGTCGATCGAAACACGGATGTTTCTTGTGAGCTACTCTGCTTCTCACTCGAATGGAACAATCCCGACGCCTACGTCACCCATAGGCACGTATGATTGCGCTGTGCGCCATCTACACTTTATTGCGTGCGTGAAGACCTTCGCTATCTAGGGCTGGAATATCAATCCACGCGCTCCTTTCTGGCTGCGTTTTTAGTGTCCGTCCGCAGAAGAGTTCGTTATCACAGTGACGTCACGTGAAGCAATAAGTCACCTGCGAAGCGTAGGTCATATATTTGAAGTGCCTGCCGACGCCAATTCGTAGTCACCGAAACTTCGATCCCTAATATGGCGCAGCTCCAGCATGTACATCATCAAAACCGATTTAAACATCCAAGCTGCTGCGCACGTTACCCTGCTTGGCGCCGCGCAGGATGTCGAATGCATTACTCACGTGTTAGGTGCGAACTCTACCCAAAACATTCCAATATTTCAAACATCGAATGTACACGGAGTCTCCCATGATCATTTGCGCTTAACTGGGTGGATTGATTGTCCACGGTCGGTTGCAGAGACGCGACCACACTGTTGCCATTCGTGGCGGCTCTCGTACAAATATGCTACTGCAATTACGTAAGCGATGTGTTGTACCGACTCCAGGGCAGAGGTCAGCACGATCAACTCCTTGGCGCGCAGCCAGAACAGTCTGCATCGCAATGCATTGCTTCGCATTGATGCGTAATGCTGTGTACATTGCAATGCTTCGCGTTGCCTTGCATTGCTTGCATTGCATTGCGTTCCGGTGCGCTGCATTGCTTGCATTGCATTGTATTGCTGTGCGCTACTTTGCACTACTTTGCATTCTGCTCCATTGCTCGACAACGCGTCGATTTCACCACATGTGTTGCACCACCTGACTTGTGCCACAATGATTGAACGGCCTTGGTTGCACAGCATAGGCTGTAAGACATCACTGTTTGGCTTCACGCTGGCTCGCAGGTCTGTATGTAATACATGTGTACGTATACAGCGTGTAAATGTATATATATATATATATATATGTGTCCACACGTGGTTATACATATAGTTCGTACTCAGGGGGCGCTCGCAAAGCCCTCGCGAGGAGAGCTTGCGCATGCGTACGAGAGAGCTCGGCATGGGCCAGGGCCGCGTGTCGAATTGCGCAAAGATGGCTGACCGAGGCCTCCACAAGTAGGAAGGCGGGGGAACCGCTGGAAGTGTAGTATACCACGCTGCATGCTCTTCATCAGTTTCCTGAGCCCCTTCAAGAATAAACTCTGGTATAAGGGGTCCGTGGTGCTATCCATCTGGCCCGCCAACCCTTGAGAAGTCAGGAGGAGGGAAACGCGGAGTGGAGGACAACCTCGAACTCAAAGAACCGAAATTTTGACGATATATCAGCGACACGCCCCTGAAAAAGAGAGGACAAGGGATTGTGGATTGTGCGGTCCTCCTCCTCCTCCTCCTCTTCCTCCTCCCTCTCCTTCTCCTCCTCCTCCGCCTCCTCCTCCTCCTCCGCCTTCATCCTCCCTTCACCGTCCTCCCTCCCCATCCGCCTTCATCCTCCCTTCCCTTCTCCCACAGCGGCAAGGAAAAAACAAGAAAACCTGAGGAAAAACCAAAACAACAAAAGAAATCAAAGGTTGGGAGCTGAAGAACAGCCAAAAATCTAAGGAACAACCAACGAAACAAACAAAAACAAAGACTCCAGCATGCATTCGGCAGGAGGGGGAGGGGGCGGTGGGGGAAAACCAAGAAAACCAAAGGAAAAACCAACACAACCAAAGAGATCAAAGGTCGGGAGCCGAAAAACAGCGGAAAACCGAAGGAAATACCAACACAAACAAAACAACAACAAAACAGATTCCAGCATGCGTTCGGGAGGAGGGGGGAAAGGGGCGGTGGTGGTGGTGGTGGTGCATAAAACTTTGTTTCTGCTTGTTGAGTCTCGGCTTTTCCTTAGGCCTGTGGCTGCGTTTGGGCTCCCGACCTTTGAGTTCTTTAGGCGTTTGTTTGTGTGATCCTTGTGTTTTTGTTACGTCAAGTTCGTGTCGTGCCGACTTCGGCGTTGGTTTCTGCCATCGCCGGGATCATTCAACCTTGAACGATCGGCCGTTGTCGAAACGTCGAATCGTTCCACATCGAAAAATTCTGGGTCGCCCGCGGCGTTCAACGTTGAACGCCGGCGGCGGGGTCGCCGCGGGTCGACACGAC